ACAATGTTTTTTCGTCCGCGTTCGTATTTTTACGCTGCGCGTCTTTAATTAAACTTTATACGAGTACAAAATCGAGAACGTAGCTTCATCGTCATATTCCATCGCACTAATCCAACGTTATTAGATTAGCCCTGTTACGGCTGTTATGGTAACTACGGTGTATTCTATACAATACGTACGTTTCGCAGTACAGCGTCCAGATGGCGTTCCACCGTACTCTATGAAACACACAGTTCGTAAACGAAAATCTAGATGGCGCTTCAAACGGCGGATGGCGGACTGAAGTAAGTTGTAAGTAATAAGTACTAAGGTGCTCACCGGCCAAATGATTACCTCCAATACGTAGGATATATAAGGCTCTAGAGCAGTCAACGGGAGTGTCATTCAGGTGTTCATTTCCTGGTGTTGGTGTTTGTGTTCGTTTCTAATGTTCTAATGCTTGCAATACCACAGGGACCCCATTTCTTAACACAATCTAAAGTGAAATACAAAAAAAAGCTCTCCGGAACTTATAGAAAATGTTGACTCTGTTCCAGGTTTAAGTGACCACAATATCTTGCTCATTGAGTTATCAATTCCCGTCCTCGCGAGGAACCCCACAATCAAAACAATCCGCGACTTCAACAAAGCTGATTACGTGGCAATAAATCAGCACTTATCTTCCTTTTATCAAACATACGCCGAAAACTTTTTTTCAAGGTCGGTTGAAGAAAACTGGTTACTTTTTAAAAATAAAATAAACAGTCTCACTGAGCAGTTCGTCCCCACTGTCACTGTGCGGAGCGACAGGAATAACCCCTGGTATAACAAAACACTGCGTTCATTGAACAATAAAAAGAAACGTTTGTATAAAAGAGCGAAACGGCTGAACGTCAACTCTGTTTGGAATGAATACTTTGCGTGCCTCAAAACTTATACAAAAAGTATTAGATCGTCAAAACAGAAATTCTTCTCTTTAGATTTACCAAGAATTTTGCGCTCTAATCCCCAGAAGTTTTGGAAAATATTTTCGCCTAGAGGCACTCATTCGATTCATCTTCAGGACGAAAATGGAGTCGCTGTATCTGAGCTTCATTGCGCTACTGTATTAAATAATTATTTCTCTTCTGTGTTCACCTGTGAAAATACCACTGATATTCCATGTTTACCCTTGTCCGACTTTGTACCTATGGCTTCCGTGGACATTTCAGCCGATGGAATCCTTCACCTCATAGAAAGATTAAAACTAGCGTCATCTTGTGGTCCCGATAATATAAACCCGAAAATTCTTAGCAATACCAAAGTTATCATCTAGTGAGTGTCTTAAATTGATCTTTTCTCAGTCACTGGAGCAAGGTTGCTTACCCTTAAACTGGAAGCTGGGCAAGGTCGTTCCAGTCTTTAAAAGCGGCGATCGTAAGCTGCCGTCGAACTACCGTCCCATTTCATTAACCTGCATTGCGTCTTGGAGGTGACAGAAAATCTGTAGATTTTTTAAATTAAAAGTGGGCCAATATTAAAAACGAAGTCAGCAGAAAGGCTAGAAAAAGTCAGATGAAAAGCTATTGAAGTCGTATATACTCTGATGACTTCTATCAACAGCTTTTTAACAGAAAGGCACCACAATGTTTTGTAAGGGCACGCGCCAAAGGCGTTTACCTTGGGGAGGAACGGTGCGGTGGCGAGGAACGGTGCGGTGCGGCTGTATTAGAACGACCCTCTCAAAATTTGAAGATTTGAAGGGACCGAAATGGTGATTGCCATAGCAACGGAGACCAATTATCCAATCGCCTTGCGAAGTTTTGATCGTTTGTGTGTTAGTATTCTTATTCGGCCAGCAGGCAGGGAAGGCAATGGCGCTATTTTCACAGCATCCGGTGACTCTAGTACACCTTAGCTCCACTGTGCCACGCCACCCGCGTAATAAGCTAAGCGCACACGAAATCGGCCGAGTCGGCTTCCATAAGCACGCAGTTTCGCATTAAAACCGTCGGAATTTCTGAGTGCACTCGTACAAAGTTTCGTCGCACCAGCAGCAGGCGACCGAAAACAATACGGTTAGTGGTTGCTTGATGTACAAGCGCGGTGTTTCCATGGCCAAAGTTTCGTAAATCTTAAGCAAAAAAAAAAAAAAAAAAAAAACACCTTTGACTTTATAGTTTTAAACAAATAACCTCACACATCTCATCTTTCGCTAGTGAAACGCTTATGCGTGAATTTAGCTCCCTCCCAATGTGTAGAAAAGAGAAAAGCCTTTTGTACCCTTTTTTTTTTAAATTCTAGTACGAGTTTTGCTCTGCTATATTGACGCCAGGTTTGTTTTCTGCATTTACATTCAGGTTTCACTCTCCGCTCCGTCCTTTTTAGTGTGGTTATTAATTTAATAAACGGCCCGATCATTTTTTTACCGTTCAATAGTTTCCACTTTCACTTCGCGGTTAGCGAAGTAAATAATAACAATAAAGAAAAGGTAAAGCCTGCCTCCGACTAACCGACGTGTGTTGCCCGGAAATTAGGATGTGATGGATCGCTCCTCTGTTCGATGTAATACGATACCGCTTGTAGAGGAGCGCGGGTGGTATGTGTGTGTGGTTGTTGGCGTTTCGTGCGATGCTTGCACTGCCTCCGGGAACACTAAGCTCCGTTTCACGTCAAGACGAACCACAGCGGACGCTACGAGTCTGTCGGAGCCAATCCAGTGCAGCGTTAGTGTCACGTGACAAAGTTTAGGGGGCGCAAGGACGCGCGAGCCGTTTACTCACGTGACGAGTTCAGGGCCCTTGGATTGGTTGAAATAGCTCGTACCGTAACCGCTCTTTTCCATCATTAGGTGAAACGAAGCATAGAACTTCCAAACTGCACGATCAATTTTTTTTTCTTTTTGCAAGCGATTTTTGACAATTGATGTTATAGAAAATTTACGTGTTAATAAACACAAACTCCATCAAGTTTGAAAGTTAAGGGACTAGAAGAAAAAGGGGTTATTTTTAATTCATACCTTTATTCCTCAGCGTTAATATTTGGAGAGACCGCGCACCTTTTGCCCTCGCCACGTAATCGCGTATGAAAAAAAAAAAAAAGGCATGGTAGGAGTTTGCATTATCTGAAACCCTTTTATTTTACTTTTTTTTGCTGGGTTATGTTTTTTTTTTGGTTTGTTGTTCTTAAATAAAATAGATTGAATGGTTTTGCCTCTTTTCTTTTTTTGGCGCAGATACGTCAATATTTTTTATCCCCGTATTTCTCGCACAGCCTGAAGAAACTATACATGGTGGAGTGATCTCACGTTTCGCCCGAATTTATAAATGTTAGCGGTCGGCGTACGTTGTCAAAATTTTGGAACTTCAACGTTATCTGATACGGGCGTTCAAAAATGAATTTCGCGAAGTTTGCTCCGGAAACTGAGCTCGTTATTGAAAGCAGCCCCTTCATGTATTTGCAGGCTCCATCCGACACCATTTAATCTTTTGAAAGTTAAAAGAATGTATTTATTAAATTCATAATACCGCCGGCCAAACTCCTGGGTCACGGAGGGAGCATTTTTAACCAACAAACGAGAAATGTAAGTATGCATGCAGTGCAACACTTCGCATATTCCATTTATCTTTTGGGCTGCAATATCTACAGCATGTAAACTAACGTTTTTAGAGCACTTAAGAAGGCTCGCAAAAAAAATCAGTTTCTGAAAGTATCACGCTGCAGTTTACTACGCTGGTTCAAGCAGGTGGAATAAGTTTACAGTAAAAAAATAAAATAATTAAATATACTTTGGAAAAAGAAAAGAAGGCAGAAACTTGTTTTGGGAGATTTATGCCGGCAATTCGCAGACGATGTACGCGTTGTGAGAAGTGCTGCCAACGAAGGAACAAAAAGAAAAAAAACGTTATAAGACGCAGCGAATTTCATAAATGGTCTATTCCTCAAGCTACGAACTGCCAGGTGCGAATGCCTCTCTATCCAGAATAACCGTCGAATGGCAGGCTTCCACAAGAAGGCGAAAGGGCGCCAACGAGAAGCATTACCTCGGTCGCCAGTGCAGGAGCTCCGCACAGGGCTCCTGCTTGGCCTGGACACTGGACACAAACTTGGACACCTGGCGAAAAAGTCGGCGAGGAATTTGACCGCCATGATTCACCGACGTCGAGGTCAAGCGCGGCGCCGGCCAATCACGGCCGCCGAATTCCTCCGCAACTTTTATTGGCCAAGTGTCCGGATTAGGGGCCCTGAACTTTGCGGCATCAGTCGCTCTCCTAGGGGCAGCCAGGCAAACTCGATCCTTCGTCGCTAGGGTGAGCTCCAGTCGTACGCGTGGCTTTCACCGACGTCACATCAGCTGCCATTGTAGGGTGGACTCCTTGCTGCCGAGCACGTATACCCTTCAGCGTATAATTTGCACCATCGAATTTGCTTTTCTTGGCTAGAATTGAAGTAGGAATGACGGCCAGCACGGTGCGATGACCTCACGTCCGAGCCATCTGTTGACTAGAGTCGATAAATGAGCCATGCCTCGGAGTAAAGACACTTCAGCCATCTTGGTGCGCTCAAGATCATTGTTGCCAGTTGTCTAAAGATTTATCTGAAGTCGCAAGAGACGGTTTTCAGTCCTCCAGACATTTTGAAAACAGTCAGCGACAGGATGAAAAAGATATCCCTTGAGGTTCCTGCCATCGTATCTCAAATTAGCTGCCTTACGATCGCCGACAGACACTTTTCAAAAGTTCGCACCAACGACTTCCCGAGGCCATTGCTTGATCACATACTCTGAGCACGTATTGGAGACGAGCGTTGAGTCAGCGTTCGGCGAGAATTCGGATCCAATCAACGCGCTCCGTCTGCAAGCCAATGGCGAACGCCAATTTTGCCCGACGGACTTTTGAAAGCGGTTCTGTTGCGCCCACCCTGCACTAAACACCCAAAATGTCGGCGCGCGCGCGCGAAATCGTTTTGTAAACGGCGCGTTGGTGGTATGTATTCGCTCTGCGACACTTTTTGGGGCACGTGCCACGGCGTCGTCAACGTACCTGGATGCCGTCTTTCCACCACGTGATCAGCGGCGGAGGGTCGCCCCTGGCGGTGCAGCTGAGAACTACGGAGTCCCCCGCTGACACGTTGAAGACCGATCGGCCGCCCTCGATCTTCGCAGGAACTGCAACGAGAATAGAAAACAAAAATGATTAAATTCAAAACATTTCTTTTTCCGGTACAGGACACACAGTAAACGTTATAACCTACAGTTACCGAGATCTTATAAAGCGGGGGTTCTTCGGCGCTCTTAACGGCTGATGCCTCAATCTGATTGGATGATGAACGATAATGAGATGTACGTAGTTCGCCATGCCCAGCGCTTCTAAAACTGCCGGTGAGTATAATAGAAAATTGCAGGGGGGAATCGGACTTTTGCGCGCTGTCAACTTTATCCATTGACCCGTGGAACGAGTTCCGAGCATGCGCAGTGGCGCCTTCCGTCACTCGCGGAATGTCATCCATCGCGCATGCGTCGACGGTCCACTGGCTCGGCAGTTTTTTTCGGCCGCTTTATAAGCTGTAGAGTGGTGTATACGAGGAGAAAAAGGGGAGGGGAGGGGGGGGTACCAAAAGAAGAACGCATTTTGATTTCTGCAACATCGCGTATTTATTATTGTGTATTTAAATTTTAGTCACCTTCACAGTGCTCTCCGCCTGATGCAACACACTTGTGGCAACGTCCTTTTTTTTTTCAGAACTATTTAAAATGTTTTTTTTTTTTTAACTCGTTGATGTTCACGCTTTTCGGTACTTCTGCCAATTTTTGTTTCACCGCGTCTACATCGGCAAACTTGTTCATTATGATAACTGTTTTTTTTTCGTTTCGGGAAACAAAAAACGCCACATGGGGCGAGGTCGAGTGTATGGAGAGAGTAGGGCACGGGAATCATGCCGTTTTTTGGGGTCAAGAAACTGCCGAATACACAGCGCGGTGTGTGGTCAGAATGACAACATAAATTGTTTTGAGACAGCTTCGTTCACCATGACAACGCGCCTGTACACACCGTAGCGTCTGCCCTTAAAGGAGTCATGAAACGATATCGGGTTGGTGTGCTCATAACTTTACAGAGGCGTACTGGTCCTATACCGGCCCAAGTATGCTCGCGTCTGAAGCTTCTTTGTCGTGGTGAAATTGCGAGAATAAAAGGAGACTATTTCTTTCAGCCTTGCCTTCGCACAGCTTGATGACGTGATTGTGGGACCGAAATCGCCCGCCTGACAACAGTCGAGCGCGGCCCATGGATTAGACACAAAAACTGCGCGATCGCTGGACTTCGGCTCGTGGCAATCAATGCCCCGACGTACTCCAACAATGCCTGGAGCCCAGCACGCGTTTTCCAGTTTGCCAACAACAGCGGCGGTGTAATTAACGTTGGCGGCTTAAGATAAGCACGTGACCGCTTGCTCTAGCTCCGAGTTGAGGGGATGAACGATGCTCATATTTCTCGAATATTATTGGCGACTGCGATAACTTCGAAAGAAAAGCTAAGGCAAGCTTATGAGCTTATGCAGTCATTAACGTTAGAGAGTGATTCTAAGTAGTTTTTAGCGAAAGTAGAAAAATAGTTTTATGGCCGCTCTAATCCCTGGAAGAAATGTTTAGTATTTCTCGAATATCCAAGTATTTGCGTACGAGTACACGTTCCGTAAGGTCACTCAAATGGGCAGAATCCAAAGTATTACTTTAATCTGCTTTCCAGATAATTGATTCAGAGTTTCCAGTGACGTCGATATTAGGACTGCATCTATGGAAGTGCTATGCGTTAAATATGATCATGTTGATAGCTTTGCTACAGGCTATGTTATTTAGACACTGAAGATCTGTGTATATTCGAATTTTCGTATAGTGGTTTAGAATAATGCGAGATTAGATATTAGCACCGAGGTGAGCTGTGATATTCGTATTTTTCGAAGTGTCGATCGCGGTGGGCAGAGCCGTATATAGAGAGAGTTTGTACATTGATTGGGAAGTATAGGAGGCAAATGAGGTGGCGCCATTGGTCGAAAGCGGGCTGGGCGTGTTCCAAGGCGTCTTCAGAAATTCGAACGGGGCCAAGCAGAAGCCAGAAATATTACCCTGGCGGTGGTTGCGAGAAACGATATCAATTAGTGCGTCGGAGTAACTCTCGGTGACTGAAAATGTGGTGCACGTGATGTTCGAATCACGAATCATGGTGGAAGAACGCGACTAGCGGAACGATCGACATAATCCGTACGCCAGGCGCCCAAGACCGGGAATCTACCGTCCAAGCGGTCACACACCATCCGAGCGGTCACACTCTGTCCCAGCAAAACAAAGTTCGAGCGGCGCATTCGTTTCTTACATCTTTTTTTGCGTGATCATAATCGAAACATCACGTGCACCATATTTTCAACCATGAAGAGTATACATTAAACCTCACGCTCTTATTAGACCTGCTTCTCGCTTCCACCACTAGGGGACTCTTTTCGGCTTCTGGTTGGCCAAGAGAGCATGCCAAGCCCTCCACCTGCGTCTGGTGCACGCCCTGGCTTTGTCCGCACCTCCCATTGACCAAACTCTCTCTATACATGGCTCTGGCGCAGGGTTAACCTCGTCAAGTGCGCTTCTTACCAAGCACCAGTGCACTGCGGGAAAGCAACACCCGCCGAAGCGAGCTCCACAGACGTTGTTTCTCCGCAGTGCACCGGTGCTCACAAAGAAGCATGCTCAACGTGGCTAACTCGCCGCAACCAACATGATTTTGAAAACTAAAAGTATCGCAATCGCATGCGCAGGAGAAAAACGCCGTTTCAAAGCAGGATGAAACACGTGCACGCTTGGTGTGTTTAAGAAGAAACGGAATCTTTGTGAATGTCGTTACCTGTGTTGCAGTAAAATTTTCAAAATTAAGCTGGCTCATGTGAAAGGGTTTATGTTAGGCAGAGATGCCCTGGCAGCCTACGTTCGTCATTTGTGACTTCTTTTGTTTTTCTGAATTCACCAATGAAGGGAGGATATTATCAGCATATAGCACGCTTTCAATTGGGTATAGCTCGCATCTCTTTAGGTATAATTTGTTTTCTAAAATCTGTCGTTTACTTGTCATCTCAATTTAGGCGCTGCACTCCCTGAGCACACAGTCTATAAATCTAGAGACATTAAAATTAACTTGGCTTAGAAATGAACACGTTAAACTTTTGGAACAACCTTCGCGAGCTCAGTTGAATTTTCATTTAAGTATGGTGGGACAGGAGTGGAAGGCTCGGAAAAACTATTTGCTATTCGATTCGAAACTATTCGGCCAAAAACTATTCATCACTTTTTATCCGCTTCGAGCTCAAAAACTCCTATTCGCACATGCCTACTGAACATAAAATTAAAGTCTCTTCAGCACGTCACGGGTCAGACATATTTTAGACATTTTCTCCGTTTCATTTTGAAGTGCTTAGCCAAAAGTGTAGGACAGTGTTCGAAGTCCTAGAAGGATCTTGTGGAACCGAGACACACACAACAAGACTCAGAGACTTATTTTTTCTTCTAATGAAAAAAAAGGACCTCGCAATAGAAAAACAAGATAAAGAAGTGGTAAGACAGAAAATGCAGCTTGGCAGCTGCCCGCAGGTGTGTGTTCTTTGCATCAAAATGCGAGTAAAACACGCGCCATGCGCACGAACATTCAAGATAGCACTTGACAGAAGCTCTCTAGTGAAACGGGCGTCAGTGTATGGTTCCGTGTTTTCGGTAAATACCGATAAACCCCAAAAATTAACCCCTGAACGGGTTTTTATCGAAATCGGGAAAAGCCGATCAAAACCCCAAATATTAGCTATCCTTCAACAATGATTAAAAAAAAAGTAACAAAACGTTTTCCGGAAAGAAAATACGTCTACAGCTTTATCTTAATTTGGGATTTACCATGTCCTAGTTTCTTCAACATGAGCCCCAATAAACACCAATTTTTCGTTCAACACACACACATTTCCCACGCATGAAAGAAAATTGTAAAAAAACAAAAACGAGATAACATTTAAGAATTCGAGGAAATATTAACAACGACATCACGGATCTCTATTTATAAGATATACAGTATACTGTTCGCCAGTAGGGTTCTGAGAGCCGTTCTCCCCCGACAGCTGCCGCCACGACCTTAACTGGCACGTCTTCACTTTGCCGCAAGTTTTCGTCGTCTGCTTACTTTGACGAGAGCCAAGAAGAGACCTCCCCCACGATGTCTCGGCTTGACAAGCTCCTTGACGCGCATTCAAAACGACGACACATAGAGGCAAAGCGGGAGACACTCGTCATTGAAAGATAGCGGCAAAGAAAAAGGGAAAGAGAGAGAGAGAGAGCCAAGCGTGACGACATTGTCGTCCTCCGGTGTAGCAGACGATGAAAGCCTGCCTCACGACGCGCATTAACGATTCGACAGGGCGACCGTAATGGACGGCTACCCATTGGACGCCCGTCGCTGTTGTCGCCTTGTTGCAGGAGACGCTGTGCGGAGCACTTTGCGACGCTGCTTCTATCGTGGGCGACTTTAGATGAGAACGGCTAACGTTTCCCGAATGTAGTGCATCAAGAACCCATTCGTCCGACGGTGCGCCCGTCAATCGTGAGCCTCCGAACACTGAAGCGCGAGTTGTCTACCCACCTGGTTTCCTGCAATTATTCGCTAAACACCGTAGAGTTCAACTTCACATACCGCGTGTTTCAGCGACGAGTTAAAAAAAAAAAAAAAGAAATTCCTGACAATTAGGTGGTTCAGGAAAAAACGAAACTTTTTTCGGGAACAAGTTGCCAGCCACGGCGGACGACATGGTTTAAGAAGAAAATAACTAGCTAAATAATCAACTAAAATTTATTCAGTAACCCTTGAAATAGTAGGAATAAATGTGGTTTCAATTAAAACTTGCTGAGCATCATTGAAAACCCCTTAATCAGTCAATTTTAGGAAGACTTAAGCACGTTTGAAGCGCGGGAGTGCGCTAAAGTTCCCACTTTCGTAGCAGGCACAAGGCTGGTGATACGAAAATGCGGATGGTAAGAACACCAACTCCCGTCTTTAACCCCCCTCCCCCCCTTTTTTTTTTTTCTCTTGGTGCGCACGAAGCCCTTAGTTTTGAATCGTAAAATTCGTCATGTTCACCAATAACAACAAC